GTAGCTAGAATAGGAAAAAGGAGTCCAGAATGGCAGTGGCTAAAAGACAAGGAAGAGAAACGCCCACAAATATAGAACAAAGGAAGGTCCAAGGACCAGAGTGAAGACCTCACGTAGAACAAACAACACTCTTGGCTAGCCCAGTTTACATAGTGCAGGCCCAGGGGAGCAGGAAAAATGCATGTAAAAAGAGAAGCCAAAATTGGGCTAGGGGCCTCTGTTCTCTTTGCATCTTTGGGTTGGCATGCCCTCATGCCTTGAGCATGTATTTTATTTACTTTATAAATAAAACTGAGCTGTAACACTGGTCTATCTGAGGGCTGTAACACTGGTCCATCACTTCAAATTTTTGTTGCAGTGAGACAAAACAGGAAACTACACACTCCCCCAACAATATGATCCTGGGTAATGAAGACTTTAACAGATGAGAAATCTCATGTTGTGCCTTACAATTTAATAGCCTGAAAAATCTAGAGCCAATTCTAAAACTCTCTCAGGATGGCTGTCTACAGTTTGGACTTGATGCTATCCTGGTTAATGTGTTCAGTTCTGCTTGCAGATTATTGAGGAATGGGTCAGAGCTACAGAAAGGTAAACATGTCTTATGTGTGAATTTTTAGTAAACATGTAAGAGTGCATAAGAAGCACACTGAGCAACTGTGAGAGTAGGAGCGGATGAGACTTGAAGAAAGCGGGAAGGATGTAGCATTATAAGTATTCTCTCTTTTGTGTTAATTTAAATGGACTACCGTTAGAGGATTTTGAGTGAAGAATACTATGACCTCACCTACATTTCATTAAAAATTGATTGCTTGGATTGTTTTATAAAGAATAAAATATTTAGGTTAAACATGGAAACAAGATTACTTAGGTTGATATTTAAACAGCCTATGTGACAAATTTGTCAAAGTTCATCAAAAGTAAACAAGTTTAATGCTTTGCACAAAAGAAGCATTTTATAATTATTTGCTGTTGTGTTTTACATCTAATATAGTAATTGTATCAATATTTCTTAGAAGCTATTAAATATAAATTTACCACCTTCACATATTAATTTATAAAATCCCCAGACTTTATGTAGTTAGCAAACTGATGGGGGGGGGGGGATGAGTTTCTAAAAGGAATAACTAAAAGCAGTCCAGTAGTGTTCATAACATATACAATAGCATTCATGACACATTCAAGATAATAAATTTTGTAACTTAGAAATGATGGACTTTACTGACAGGAAGGTTGTTTACATTTTAGGGTAAATATGTTATCCATTATTGGTTTTCAAATTTGTAAACCAATCATCAACTATATTTCAAAGTACGCTCTAATGAAGAGCAATGACAAAACATTCCAAAGCAAGAATAAAATACAAAATTTTATGTGATATATATATTTTTCTTTAAATATTTCCAGTAAAAAATACCTATCATGGAGGAAATTAGCCAGTCTAAAATACAACATACAGATATTGAATAATCATGCTTTCCACTACAGATAATATATCTCACTATGGCTTGCCAGCACTTAATCACTTTTATGGAATTACAATTTGGTTTTCACTAACTGTGATTTACTTAGTGTGGGCTGATTTATGCCATTGAGAATTTGTTTAGTTAATGGAACATTTTAATTTATGACAGAAGGCAGCATAAAATTGCTTTGCATATTTGGATTGCATTACTATTGACTGCCAGTCAAAATCTGAAATGAAACAAAAAATGACAGATAAAAGCATTTTTAAATCAGCTATACCTATTAATGGTAGAGTATAGATTTGAAACAAAATAACACAAGAAGCCAGTAGCTTTTGCACTTGCTTCTCCAAACTCTTGACTAGATTTTGCAGTTCTCACTGACATATGGTACTGTCTGTGAAGTCTCTTCAGTGAAGCCTCACAGGGAAAGAGTGAGATGTTTCATAATGTAGTGTCAGCAGTAGGCTCTTGGCACCCAGCACTGGGTCTCCTTTCATCTGGCCCAGATGGTATGGATCCCTGACTCTTGAAATGTCTGCCTGAGATAAGAAAACTATTGAAAGCAAACTGGCTGATGGTCTATACTGATGATTTCGGAATAGCGTGTATGGGTCAAAGGAACCAAGAACAAATAAAGCTTAGCTTTCTCCATCAGAAAAGGTTTATTTAACATTTGCCATTAAGTCATATCAATTTGTATCTAATGGTTGACTTCTAATATTCATTTCTATACGGCAGCTGATTATCCATTCTTCAAGCGTTTCTTTCAAGCTGTGAGACTTTTCTTGAAAGAATGTATTAGGAGTGATCTTTCAAAGAATCAGAGACTTTTAGGGTTAAGTTTACATGCTCCTGGAAGTGTTTGAGCTGCATACTTGGTGCTTTATTCACTTACCAGAAGAGTCTATGCATGGAATGTGTTGGTGGCCTTCGTGAATTTGTTTAACTGGGCTCTCTTTTCTTCTGGTCTCTTGATGAGTTAGACATATGAAGATCACCAGCAGAAGGCTGAAGTTGGGAAGCTGAGGGTATCAGAGAGTAGTCAAGGTATTTAATTTCCCAGCTTTCTCTCTCTATGCTCTCAATCGTTGTTCAGTTGACATTCAGTTGCTAAGTCATGTCTGGCTCTTTGTGACTTCATGGACTGTAGCATGCCAGGCTTTCCTGCCCTTCACTCTCTCCCAGAGTTTGTTCAACTCATGTTCATTCAGTCAGTGATGCCATTCAACCAGCTCATCCTCTGTCTCCCCCTTTCCCTACTGCCTTCCATCTTTCCCAACATCAGGGTCTTTTCCAATGAGTTGGTATCAGGTGGCCATAGTAGGGAAGCTTCAGCTTCAGCATCAGTCCTTCCAATGAATATTCAGGGTTGATTTCCTTTGTGATTGACTGGTTTGATCTCCTTGCTGTCCAAGGAACTCTCAAGAGTCTTCTCCAACACCACAGTTTGAAACCATCAATATGCTCTCCATATCAGGTCTTATTTCCTGTTGTGTGACCTTCTCCCACAGAGGGAGGGATAGAGATCTCTGAGTTCTGGCAACCCATCATTCCCCTTTCTCCTTCAACTTCAGGTTGGTTATGGCTCACCATTGTTCTTAGCCCCAAGATGCTCTACCATCTCTTGTTAGCTTTTCTTTGACTTAACCATGCTTTTGCAAAGAGTTTATTCATTAAAGTGTTGGCAGTATCCCTATTTGAGTATGCCATTTTGTTTTCTTGCCATATCCTGATGATATTTTAGAGGCTTGAATCCCCATTATAGCTTTATAACTTATCTTCTAAATGATCATTTTGACCTCATGTTTGAATGAATATAGTAATATGGAGCCTGTTCTCTCCTTAATCAACCTCTAACTGATATGGCAAAGCAGCAGTAACTGTGCAACTGTAGAGAAAATGTTTTCATGTTTTTCAATAATTAGAAATTTATGAACGTGGAAAACTGGAACCTGCAGTAAAGGAAAATATTTGGAGGCTAAAAGGTTAATAAAATAGATAGAGGCCTCTAGAGAGATAGATTTATCACTACCTGGAACCATACGTATACATTTCAAAACATAATAAAACCAGGAGTGATTCATTTATGTTCAAAAGATTTGCAAGCTAGGGACTGACTTCTCTTCAAAGAAAATATGTTAAGGAGATAAGGTTTCCCTCCCATTGGCAGGAGGGGGTAAAGCAGATCACCAGTAGTTTTTATATAAATTCCAGATTCATAATTTTAAAATAACCCCTTTATACATATGCCCAGCCTTCTGGCTCTCATTCTGTTACCCAAAAGAAGTGAATGGAGTATAGGGAACCAATAGATTCACTGTTATTAGTAATAATAATGTTTCCTTATATCTAGAAATCTGTTTGCTTTCTGGACAAAATAATATAGATATTAAAAATTTGCATCAGTTTCCTTTACATCTTTGGATTGACTATATAAACATGCAAAAGGGAGTACCTTTTCAGAAGACAGCAGTTTTGGGTTCTGATCTTGGTGTCCTAAATATTTTGCCTAGTCTTCAAATATCATGGACTAAAGTCCCCTCAACCTGTTTGTTGTTCTCTTACAGAAACTCCTCTATATTCACTTGTTAATTAAATTCTATAGTACACCTTACCAGTGGAAAATATATTGCTTTTATTCTTCTACTTACTATGTACAGGCATTAGTTTGGGGGGGAGGAGTAGGAAATATCAAGGCCATAAGGACAATTATAATGTTTCTATAATGTATCATCATCAGGAAGAATCAATTCTAATCATTTTCAGTCTTTAGGCAACTAGCTCAAGATTCATATTTCAAAAAAAAAAAAAAGTTTGACCTTGATTGAATTATGTAGGCATCCTGGGTGGAGAGAAGGTGATTCGTTTTGATTGACATCCCATCCAAGTTATTTGAAAAGAAAGGGGATTCCATAAAAGAGAATAAGAACATTATTACTAGGAAAAAAGGGATATATGTATACTAAGCAGTCAAAAATAAATATTAATAAAGGATTTTGTAGTAAGGAATGTAGGCAAAGTGTAAAGGCAAGAATGAGAAAGGTAATTTTGGAAACAGGTAAAGCTTCCAGTTTCTGGTAAAGAAGAGAATAAGGAGAAATACTTGATGGAAAAGTTAAAATTGGAAAAGATTGTTGGTGATTTTTATTTTAGTTTAGTTTTTGTTCATTGTTTTGTTTTGTATTTTTTGGCTTGCAGCAGACCAAATTGAATGTTATATTAAGGCAGCTGGAAAATCCAATCAAGAGACCATCCCCAGGGAAAATACAGTTTTCATAAAGGTGGCAAAATAAAGTGTTTTCAGACCAAAAATCAGACAACAGCAACAAAAACTGAGAGCATTTGTTTTCAGCATAGCTTTACTAAAAGAAATACTAAACACAGAGAAAAATACTATCAGCAGGAACCTCAAAGTCAGGAAGTATGGAAGAATTACACAAAGAGGAAGTACACGGACAAATTTAAATAAGAAATAAAAATACACTGTAACAGTAATATGCTGTGCAAATTAAAATATAAGTAAAAGTATAGATTTGGAAACAGTAATGCAAAGATCAATTCAGTTCAGTTCAGTCGCTCAGTCCTGTCTGACTCTTTGCGACCCCATGAACACCAGGCTTCCAAGCACACCAGGCTTCCCTGTCCATCACCAACTCCCAGACCTTACTCAAACTCATGTCCATTGAGTCAGAGATGTTATCCAACCATCTCATCCTCTGCCATACCTTTCACCTCCTGCCTTCAATCTTTCCCAGCCTCAAGGTCGTTTTCAATGAGTTAGTTCTTCACATTCACATCAGGTGGCCAAAATATTGGAGTTTCAGCTTCAGCAGCAGTCCCTCCAATGGATATTCAGGACTGATTTCCTTTAGGATGAACTGGTTGGATCTTCCTGCAGTCCAAGGGACTCTCAAGAGTCCTCTCCAACACCACAGTTCAAAAACATAAATTCTTCGGCACTCAGCTTTCTTTATAGTCCAACTCTGACATCCATACATGACTACTGGAGAAACCAAAGGTTTGACTAGACAGATGTTTGTTGGCAAAGTAATGTCTCTGCTATGTAATATGCTATCTAGGTTGGTCATAACTTTCCTTCCTAGGAGTAAGCGTCTTTTAATTTCATGGCTGCAGTCACCATCTGCAGTGATTTTGGAGCCCCAAGAAAATAGTCTGTCACTGTTTCCATTTTTTAAGTCAACATATTCTTTCTCCCCTTTCACTTTCATCAAGAGGCTCTTTAGCTCTTCTGTGCTTTCTGCCATAAGGGTGGTGACATCTGCATATCTGAGGTTATTGATATTTCTCCCTGCAATCTTTATTCCAGCTTGTGCTTCCTCCATCCCAGCGTTTCTCATGATGTACTCTGTATATAAGTTAAATAAGCAGGGTGACAATATACAGCCTTGTCATATTCCTTTTCCTATTTAGAACCAGTCTGTTGTTCCATGCCAGTTCTTGCTTTTTTGATGATCCAATGGATATTGGCAATTTGATCTCTGGTTCCTCTGCCTTTTCTAAATCCAGCTTGAACATCTTGAAGTTCACAGTTCACATACTGTTGAAGCCTGGCTTGGAGAATTTTGAGTATTACTCTGCTAGTGTGTGAGATGAGTCCAGTTGCATTGTAGTATGAGCATTCTTTGGCATTGTCTTTCTTTGGGACTGGAATGGAAACAGACCTTTTCTAGTCCTGTGGCCACTGCTGAGTTTCCCAAATTTGCTGGCATATTGAATATAGCACTTTCACAGCATCATCTTTTAGGATTTGAAATAACTCAACTGGAATTCCATCATGTCACTAGCTTTATTCATAGTGATGCTTCCTAAGGCCCACGTGACTTCACATTCCAACATGTCTGGCTCTAGATGAGTGATCATGCCATTGTGACTCTCTGGGTCATGAAGATCTTTCTTGTATAGTTCTTCTATGTATTCCTTCCACCTCTTCTTATCATCTTCTGCTTCTGTTAGGTCTGTACAATTTCTGTCCTTTATTGTGCCCATCTTTGCATGAAATGTTCACTTGGTATCTTTAATTTTCCTGAAGAGATCAATAGTCTTTCTCATTTTATTGCTTTCCTCTATTTCTTTGCATTGATCCCTGAGGAAGACTTTCTTATCTCTCCTTGCTATTCTTTGGTACTCTGCATTCAAATGGGAGTATCTTCCCTTTTTTCCTTTACCTTTCACTTCTTTTCACAGCTATATGTAAGGCCTCTTCAGATCACCATTTTGCCTTCTTGCATTTCTTTTTCTTGGGAATGGTTTTTATCACTGCCTCCTGTACAATGTCAGGAACTTCTGTCCATAGTTCATCAGGCACTCTGTCTATCAGATCTAATCCCTTGAATCTTTTATCTAATCCTTTGAATCTACCAACAAAACAAGCATTAGTTGAAGTTACGCTGATATTAAAATTGACTTCAAGGAAAGTATTATTAATGGAGACTAAAGGAAATATTTCAAAATGCAAAGAAGATCATTCTACTAGAAAAAGTTATGCATTTCTAAATTAAGCACAATCAAATGCTATAACTTCAAAATATATCAAGCAAAAATGTATAGAAGTAGAGGAAGAAAGCATGAATATAATAAAACATGTACATTACCATATGTAAAATTGTATAGCCAGTGGAAATCCACTGTATGATGCAGGGAGCTCAAATCCAAAATCTGAAAAATGTATTAAAATATTGCTTCAAGTGCAAACAAACAAAAAATAATGAGATTACAGAAGCTGTTTTTAAAAAAAGAAATTAAATAATTAACAAACTGTACTTAGTTATTTTAAAGAGTATTTTACCCCAGCATAACAGAATACATATTATTTGAAATTTACATAATATACTTACCAAAACGGCCAGTAAGATGAATAATAATGAAAGCCTATTAAATATAAAATGATTCAGAATATTTTTATCAATCATTAGAAATAAAGAACAATAACAACAAGAAACAAAATAATATCAAACTATTTGGGAATTAAGCAGTGTAGCTTAAAATAGCCCATTTTTTAAGGAAGAAATCAGAAAGGAAATAAGTATTTT